TTTATCCTTTTTTCTCTAATCTTGTCTTCTTGTTTTATTTCATTAAGTTGGACTTCGACCTCTGATACCCTTTATTCTGCTTGAACAATTCGAGTGTTTAAACCCGTGCATACTTCTCGGAGTTCCTGCATTGTATTCTTCAGTTCCATTAATTCACTTATATTCCTCTTGAAGTTGTCTATTCTCATTAGGATTTCATCAAACCTTTTTTCAAAGTTCTTAGTTTCTTTACATTGGGCTACAACATGTTCTTTTAACTCACAGAAGTTTCTTATTATCCATCTTCTGAAGCCTGATTCCGTTAATGGGATGCGCTCATTCTCCATCAAGTCTTCCCTTGTTGATGAGGAACTGTGATCCTCTTTAGAGGGAGAGGCGTTCTGATTTTGAGTATTCTCAGCCTTTTTACACTGGTTTCTTCCCATGATTGTAAATTTATCCACCTGTCTTCTTTGTAATTCCCAACTTTCAAATTAGGTCTCTGAGTGGATGTCCAAGTTGTTAATTCCCAGGGCTGAAATATGAGCAACCCACTGCACCCACCAAAACAGCAGCATTAAGACTGATGGTGCTTTTCTGCCCAGGAATCTCCAGTCTGGCTTCCTTCCTGAGTCCATAATAGGTGACTCTGCCTTCCTGGAGCTCCAAACCTTGGTCAGAAGAACCAGTCCCGTTTACTCTGCACTGAGAGCTGCCGCGCTGTGGTGCTGGCGAAACCACTGCACCAGCCACAAGAGTCGTGCTGGCAACCCGTGAAGCTCCTCCACTGGGAATCTTCTGCTCCATGAGTGACCAAAATTTGTCTGAAAGTGTGGTGTCCTCTCGTTCTCTGAGCTTCCACTGGGAGCTGAAAACCCGAGATGTTAGTGATCGGCCATCTTGGATCGTTCCTCTACTTTTAATTACATGTAGTCTAGCATCCTATTATGAGGACACAGGAATGTAATAGCAGAATGATATCTCTTTGAATTTCCTTATATTGTTTTAGAGACCACATTGTGATACTCTTCACTTTGTATTAAAATAAAATCAGCATTTAAATGATATTTTTAAGCAGAAAAGAAAAGAATAAATGCAAGAAAATGAAATTCCACTGCTTTCCAGGACTTCCTGAAACCTCCCACTTACTTCATTGGTGTATGTCAAAACCTTATACTTTTCATGTAGTCAACAAGATGCATGGAGTAGCCATATTCACGCTGTACATGCTAGAAGCTGGATTTTTCTATTTGTATACAATCCAGACGTTCTATCCCAATCCTCCTCACCATTTCTCTCACTGTGAGAAATAAGCAGAGCAATTAAGAAGTGTCATGATTGACTGACATAAATTTCACCTTCTCTTTTTCTTGCCCACTCTCAGGGGTGAGTGCTAATGAGCACTGTAATGAATGCAGAGGGGAAGGTAAGCAAGATGAAGTCCGGAAATGCAAGCTAAGTAATCCGCTCCTAAAAATCCTGAGAATTGGCAGGATTTCTTGAAAACTTAATTACTAGAGTTATAGATGGCCAGTCATCTATATTTTATTTATTGGCATTTATAGCATTTTCTCCATTCTACCACTTGAGAAAACAGAAACAGAGAGAATATCTAGATGGTCTGAAGCCACAAAATGAAATTAAAATAGAATTCAGGTATTTCTGACAATTATTTCTGTATTTAGAGTATGAAAAGGTCATTACTGGTATCCTTTTAGTGTTCTCCTCTGTATATACATTTTACTATTTTTTCTGAAAATGTTCAGTAAAAAATTTACTTGAAAATGTTCAGTAAACCTGCAGATGTGCTTGATACATATGATAAATCTCATTTATAAAGCATAATTGTAGTATGGGTCAAGTCATATTTTCCAAGAATCTAACTATAATTATATATCTATATATATAAAACTTAGGGTGTATTAAAATCATCTGAAATGCTTATTCAAAAGCATATTTTAAAACTCCATCCTTGAAGATACCCTCTAATCAGTAGACAGAAGAGGAGAGATTGGGGCTTGGTTTAGAGGTGGTTTTGCATGATACGCAGGCACCACCTGAGAGTGGACAACTGTAGCATTACAGCCTTTTTAGGGGACATTCCTGAAGGACAGTGGTGAAGGGAAATCTTCCCAGTGGACAAAATTATGGGCAATTCAACTGGTTGTATACTTTGCTTGGAAGGAGAAATAGCTAGATATGTGATTATATTTCAACTTTTGGGATATATGTATGTCATATATGTCAATTGTATGGCTGAATGGTGAGGGTTGGAAAGAAAATGAGTGGAAAAGTGGTGACAAAGAAATCTGGGGAAGAGATATGTGGAAAGAACCTCTCAGAATAGTCAAAAGACATGAAGATATTTGTGTGCCATGTGAATGTTCATCAAAGGGTGACCTCAGCAGAGGAAGATTTTCATAATCAAGTGGACTGTTTCCTTTCTCTCAGGGATTATTGACTTTGCTGCCTGTAAACTATTGCTTTATATATTATGCCTTTTTTTCAGTGGTTTCAAGTATGAGGATATATCTGGTTCCCATGTTTTCATCATGTCTAGAAACTTACTCTTTTTCATTAAAAATCTTGCTGAACACCTTTACATAATTGCTTTCCTGCTATTTATCCTATTTATACCTACATATCTTTCCATAATCAATGCTCTGTAACCCACCCCAAACATTCTAACATGTTAATATAATAAGACTTTACCTAGTATCTGTCTACAAGATATAAACTAATTTAGCAGGAATGACACAATTTTTTTTGATGTATTCACATTTTCTGTTTGTGAATAACTTCATCCACAGTCGTAAAGAAAACACATACCATGTAGAAGCAACTTTGGAATAAAGATATACCTAGTGACTATAACCCTTATGCAAAAATATGTTCACAGCATGAAGTATACAAATGATTTTATGTATATTTATATTTCTCTTGCTTGCAAACCACACACACTAAATAGAAGAAACACACCTGCTGGACAACCAAGTCCTTCTCTTTCAAAGTCAAAAATCAATTCATAAAATATCTTTTGATAACAAAGATTAGCAGCATTTTCTGTGGCCCTGAAAGTAGCAGTACACTGTCCTCCCATCACAGATGTTTGAGAACCTCCAAGTGCAGTGATAGCCAGTGCTAGGGTCCGTTTCTTTTCATTAAGAAATCTCTCTTCACTTGGTTTACTTCTACTTTTTATTTAGCCAGTACTATCAGTATGTTAATAATTACTATAAAGACTAAGCTGATATTTTAAAGGCTATATGTGCATGGTTTATTTACTCCTCATAAGTGCTATTTAAGAAAACGAACTCAGAGAGGATAAATGACTTACCCAAAGTCACATATAGTGGATAAGAACTAAAACTTAAGTTTATTTGATTCTGAAGTGTTTATTTAGAACAGCTGTAAGAAGCTACCCTTAGTTGCTCTAAGAAATAACAATAAACAGTTAACACTTACATGGTCACTACATGTCAGAGTTAATTTTAATAGAATTACAAATATTAACTCATTTAATTTTTAAAACTATATTATGAAAACTAGATAGGTTTTATTTTCCTTTTTTACAGACTATAAAACAGAGGCACAGAGAGGTCACATACCTAATTGGCAGAGCTGAGATCTGAACCCCGACACTCTGCTTTTGGAGTTCATTATCTTAACCTCTAACCCATGCTGACCATGTGCTGCCATATCATCTGCTGGTTTTCATTCTAGCTTTCATTTGCCTTCTCTGTTTTTTTCTGATTACCCTGACACCCATAACTGGCAGAGGAAATAGAGTCTTCACATGTTTATAGTCTTTAAATCTTATCTCATACTGTATTGATTTATTTGGGAAATGTCAGATGGCTGTAAGGTCATCTCAGTTAAGGTTACCTCCGACTCACTTTAGCTTTGTGTAGTTGAGGAAATCAAATTGTTCTTTCCTATGTGTTCTTTTATCTATTTAAGTTGACCTTAATTACTGCCAAAAGTTCCTGGGACATGTATTCCAAATGAAGCACCCACATACAGCATACATATATAGGTCTACAACAAACCAAAATGGAATATATTAATAAGAGGTAAAAGTTATAAACGTGTATCAAAGTGTATGTGTATGTGTGGTGTGGACTTATTTCCTCCTCTCAGATGATAGGTGTACTAGCACTTTCCATGATCATTATATTTATCCAGTTTTTCCTTGCCTCTCTCATTAGACAGTAAGCCTATGAAGACATGGAACTTTTAAATTAGTGCAATAATACAACTTAAAAACAATCTTAAATACTATTTACTTCCTAAAGTCTAGGGAACTTTAATATTTGTGGGACTATGACTTTGATCTATTTGCACATAAATTTCTAACAACACATTCTCCCCCATACGTCACTCCCCCACTTCTGCTACAATTCGTTCCTATAACATTCTCCTTGCCCACTATTTTATTTTCTCTTAGTGATGTGTTTGGAGCTTATGGGCCATCAGCTATTTGAAGTTGGACATTCCATCTGTGTCATAGGCCTTTCCATGTAAAAATGGTATAAAAATCCAGAAATTATTCCTAAAATCAGTAAAAAGTAAAAGTAAAGACAATACAGAAAAATCCAAACACTCATGTTAGGGGGTTCCAATTAGTTCTTAGCCTTAAGATATGTATTTCAGATCATCCATCAATTTCTTTACAATGAAGAGATTGCACTTACTCAGCTGCTATTAACAAGAGTGAATAAATACAGAGTGGGAGTTTGAAATCCCAGAGTTAAAAAGGATTTTAAAATCCCTCTAAACTCCTTCTCTCCAGGCAAAAACTTGTTCTTACTAGACAGGTGGGCATATGTCTTATTTTTTGAGGATACACAACTCTTCCAACACATACTAATGTTTACTAAATATTCAGCTACAACCTTTACAGTGGAGAAAGCTGACAAATACTACTACAGCCAGATAATCAAAGTCCACAATGATGGTGGTGAGTCATATTGATTGCATGTATCCTTGCCTTGATATGACATATTGAGAAGGCACCTTACCTGTGTGGTCTTCCTCCCCACAGTCCATAGCCCTAAGGGAAAAACATCAGATAAACATGAATAAACAAACATTTTACAAAATACCTAAATTTTTGATACTAGTACTACCCACAACTGTCAAGGACATCAAAAACAAGAAAGTCTGAGCAACTGTCACAGCCCAGACAAGTCTAAAGAGACATGACAACTAAATGTTGTATGTTGCTTCAAATGGGATTCGGGAACAGAAAATGGTCATTAGGGAGAAAGTACCGAAATCTGAATGAAGTCCAGATTTCAGCTATAACAATGTAGCAATATTGGTTCACTGATTGTGACAAATGTACCATACTCTATGTCAATAATAGTAAATACTGAGTACCGGGTATATGAGAACTCACTGAACTGCCCTTGCAACTTTTCTGTAAAAAAGATTTTTTAATAAAAAATTTATTTAGACATCAAAAAATTATGCAATGACAGAAAGGTTTCTTTTCATTTAAACAGGAGAATAACTTGCTGTAAACAAAGATGCATGTTTATCCTGTTTTACTCTGATGACCAAAGCTGTTACATGATTGTAGATTATGATAAATGATGGTATTGGGGTTGGTTATTTGTACAGATGTTTGAAACTCCAGAGGATTTCATCAGCATTCCAGCCTTTTAAAACTAAACCAATGGCTTCTTACCCTTCAGCAAGTTCCATTAAATTGAGAGTCCAGTTACAGTGAAAAATTTCTTGTTCATGCTCAATTTATTTCAGAGAGAGTTAATATCAATAGGAAGGATAATTACTTCCAAAAATTTAGAAAACAATATTGGTATGGTCATTTAATATAGGCCAGGGTTCCTGACACTTCTTGAAGTGGTATCCTAAAAATAGCACACCAATTTTTTGTATAAGCAAAGCCATGGTTGTATTTTATTTTACATTCTAAACTCCCTCTTTAGGAATCTTGCCATTGTATTTTTAAAGTCTTACATAGAAGAAACATCTCATGTTTTGATCATTTCTTATTCCAAGAATTCATATAGTTTATGGCAGCCTGGGTCATCATTCTTTCTTTGAACAAATAATGCAAAAATAACAATAGTTACATTTTATGTCTCTATAACTATTTTATTTAATTTCTGGATTATCCTTAAAATTTTTAACTCTAACAAATGAGACAGAAGCACTTTCAACGCTTTATCTAAAATTTTCTGCTACTCAGAAGTATATAAATCCATTTATTTGACCTTCAAAATGAGGTGGAGTTGATATTGTAAGGTTAATGAGGCAATTATTCTTAAACAGAACATCAGTCATAAAGGCACAGTTTCTTCCTCCTTTTAATATGCACATTAATTAAAATAATTCTTTCTTTGTGATTTGCATTGATAAGTAATCATCAATGAGGTAAGGAATAATTAACATTCTAAGTATCTCCTATGCAATTTGGGGCATTAAGTTTCACTGTATAAAAGTTTTTCTGGAATAAAATGTACTTTCAGACATTTCTTATATTATTTTCTGTACTTTTCTATTTGTTACAGATGCAGAAACACTGGGTGTTGCTGTGACTATCAGTTATTTGGAAGAACGTACACTAAAAGTGTTCTCAGAATCAGACCTTAACTACTACCCCAAGTACAACTCCATTGGTTAGCCAAGACATTTAATCAGAAACTTATAGTTCAAAATTATTTACTGCATTTTCCTTTAGGTTAGTCTATAGAACCTATTTTAGGACACAGAAAAAATTACTATTTTTTTATAGGTATACTTACCAGAACACAGATTTTTGATTTTTTTTCCACACACACAGGATAAATCTACCGTAAGAATCAGCCATTCTGATCTATGAGTATGTAAAACTATTTTCTTTAAAAATAGAAAAATAAATAAAACCAGAGCTACTCAATGAAGGATTTTCTTTTTTTTTTTTTTAAGGTTTTTTTTTTGTTTGTTTTTTAGACAGAGTCTCACATTGTCGCCCAGGAAAACACTGCAGTGGAGAGCGGTAGTGTAATCTTGTCTCACTGCAACCTCCACCACTCAGGTTTAAGTGATTCTTCTGTCTCAACCTCTTGAGTATCTGGGATTACAAGTGTACACCCCATCATGCCTGGCTAATTTTTGTATTTTTAGTTTAACTATATTGTCTAAATTGGTCTCCAATGCCTGATTTCAAGTGATCTGCCCACCTTAGCCTCCCAAACTGATGGGATTACAGGTGTGAGCCACTGTGCGTGGCCTTCAATGTTGAATTAAATATTACTTGGTTCATGCACAATAACTTTCCATGGCATATGTAAATTAAATTTAATTACAGTTAAATATACATATCTGTTTTGAGTTACATTTAGAAACAGATACTTATACACACTTTTTGGGAGAAAATAGAGTTGCATTTTGTAAAGCTAACAACGTATCTGCCTCTAACTTACAGAAATACAGTGATTTTTCTCAGGTTGCCTTGTTTTTCATGTGAAATGAAAATAAAAAGTAGGGATCTCCATTCACTATGCCAAAAAAATAAAAAGTTATGATGAAAACTGAGTCATGCAAGAGACTACTTTTCCTTTTGTTCCCAAGCAGAGAGCTACAGTTAAAAGATAAAACATCACCACTCTCTGTTCACCTTATCTTATACAAAGTACAGATTTACTGCACGTAACGTGAGTATGTAATTGACTATCCCCCTTCCTGCTCTGTTTCCCTTGTAACATGTGAATTATGATAACCTTCCTCTTTCCTCTTCACCCAGCCTTTTCCCTTTAAATATGGAAGCCCTCAAAATCAATTATGGAGAAAGGCACAGATCTCAGACTTTCTGTGATTTCATGACATTTTTCTTCTGGACATGGGCTTAACCTTGACAAAATAAACTTCTAAATTTATTGAGACTTTCACAGAGCCTTTTTGGTTTTCAAACTGGTGGCCAATGGAAGAAACTCTGAGTGGAGGTGGCCCTGAGAGGTCCCATAGGCACCTCTCCTACAGGAGCTTAGTGCCCTCCTGGGCTACCTTTAAGGCCCAAACCAATAGAACAATTTACTGAGGCCTAGGAGTTTCCCCTCAAGGGAATCCCTAATATCCTAAACTTTGGTTGAGATCTAAGGTTTATTTTGCTGTACAACTCTTTTTCTGCAGTTTTCCTGACTTCCACCACAGAAGGCAGGTTTTTCCGGCTTCCATGATGATGGAGGGCAGACAATTTCATTCTGGGGTTTCAGCTGGCTTCTGACAGGGAAGGCAAATTTGAGTTTTCTTAGGCTTCTGAGGTGGTAGAAGTCTTCAGCCTGGGCCCCATTCCTAGGTAAGTAGCTAAATTGAGATTTTGTCTTAAAAATTTTCCTTAGTAACTAAAAGTTAAGATTAATTAGCAAATGATCTTAATTTCTCTTTACCATAGGAGTGCTCAGTAATTGTATTATTTGGATTTTGTTGTTGTTTCTTGGGCTTTTCTCCCACCAGATTTGATCCACTCTACCTGGCTTTGTCAAATCCAAATGAGAACATATAATCAAGAGATTAATAAGGTAGGGGAGATAAAATTTTTGAAAACAGATAAGTAAAGAAATCATAAATCTAAAAATTCTGCCTCTGTCTGTATCTGTTATGCCTATATGATTATATATGTCATGGGGAAGTGATATTTTACTGCCAAATAATATAAAAGAACTGTAATTAATTTGATCAAAGAAAGTAAGAATTTATCAAACTAATAGAAACTAGCTTAGAGGCTTTTTAGTTCACAGGACTTTAGTAATCTTTGCTAAGATTAATTTGATAAATTTAGTCTCAAAATTCTCTACAGTAATTTAAAATCTTAAAGTCATGTTATGTTGAATTAAATTAAACACTTCTAGGCTTTCAACTGAGAAACAAGGTTACTAAGAATTTGAATAGCAAGGGAGTAAGATGTGTTTTGGATGAAGTTTATTAAAAAAAAAAATGAGTGTATGGTTTTTACCTAAGAAAAATGTATTTTTTCTAGTTTAGAGGACTTTTCTACTTGTGCTGAAATAAAACCCACTCTTTGCATCCAACTGTTTTTTTTTTATAAACTAGTGAGTTTTGATATCTCACAGCTAAAGTTCCAAAATAAAAGCTATAGGATCTTTCTTTGCATAAGTGTGTATGCATGCTTAGATGTGTTTACGTGTATGTATGTGTTTTGTTGTGTGTTATGGCCACAAGGAACCAACTGGCTTAAAACTAAAGGAGCATTGATCAAATTAAATAAATAAGCCCAGAAGCTTTTCAAGTTCATGTGGCTTAAATAAATCCTTAAAAAGTAAGCTTCATTTAATCTTTCTAGTAAAATAAAAGTAGAGATGTTTTCATATCTGTCAGCATGCTTTATTGTTTAGATGTTTTGAACAAATGATTTTATAATTAACATTTCTGCAAGTTATTATAAGGTGTCAAAATCTGGCATAAACCCAGCCCAAACAGAATGATCTTATTGTAATTTTTTTATAAATATGTTTTCTAATAACGTTGGATCATTGAAAACATTAAATCCTGAGTTACTGGCACACACAAAAAAATCCAAAACATTTATTTAACCTTAAGATTCTTACTCTGGTAAAGACCTGAAATTTGCAGGCTATAAAAAGTTTTAATAAGAAAATAATTAATATAATAGTTTCCTTAAGTAATCTAAGTAAACTATTAAAATTAATTAAGTACCTGTAAGGAAATAAACATTTATAAAAAACTTGTCATATAATTTAGAATCCAAAGTTATATTAAATTAAATAATACATAGTGACTAAATATCTGGGCCATTTCCAATTTTAAAAAACTTATAGGAAAATAATATTCTAAAAAAGTTTTTACCAAAAGGAAGTAATTTTGTCTAATTAAAAGCCTTTGTATGAAACAAGGCAAAAAGACCCAGTAAATAAGAGAGATGTAAAAAAAAAGTTCTAGACACAAAGAGGTATTTTTGGTAAGAAAGTTTAAAAGGAAAATAATTTTATATAAAAAAAACTTGTATGGTAACTTTTGTCATAAAATAAAATGACTGGTTAGTTAAGAAAGAGAGATGTCAGATTG